GGCACGCGCGCCCGCCCAGCCTCGAACTCATCTCTCGACTAACACCTCTTGCGGGCACGACTGTTTGCGTCGTCATCACCCCCGGGGGCAAAAAAAAACTCAACAGCGATTACCTTCATCATGTAAAGAACGACGACTTCTAGACATTCATCCAAATATCCGCGAGAGTGCTGCCATCCACACCGCCAGACCCGTGCCCAAACTTCCCGAACAGAGAGAGACGACCGCAACCAATACTATGACAACTAGCAACACCTTCAGACGTTTGGGGCACCTCCTGGGGAAGAAGACGAGAGCCGTTGCTCTTTCGGGGTGGCATACCCGCAAAAGCTCGACGGATTTTCCTGCGGAACAAGAACCACGCACGACGGTACGGGACAGGCGTGTGGGATGGGACGGTCATCTCAGACCACAAAACCATATCGCTCGCGTTGGGGTTTGGGTGTAGCCCCCAAAACAAGGAAATGCATGTCGGACAACAAATGTTGAGTGCCCGTGCTCCTACAGACCATCCACCCGCGCGCTGACATCAGGTCGCACTACTGTACCTTCTCAACACGGGGTTGAGCTGTGATCTGCAATTGAGGAAAGATTTCACTTTTGTTGTTCCCGTGGGATCAAACAAGCGACGCGAGGAAAACAACACACCACAGTCGTCTACGACGTACGATCTCCCTTTGTGCGTGCGTTTTACTATATTATTTCAACAAAAAATAGTGATAATGCTTTGGGATTTTCACATTATTTTGGTTCCGGCGATGGTTTTTGGCGAGAACGTACCACATACATCAAAGTAAAGACAATGGACGCTGTAAACGGAATAACTCAAAACAACAGAAACACCCAAGCTGTTGTAAGCAGGAGGCGTTTTCGTCGTATCTTGCATGGGGATGAAAACCAACACAAACCGAGGGATTGCACAACTCGAAGAGCAACAAAAACACGACCAAGGAGGAGGCGTTATGTTACCTGAACCGGCTAAAACGCGCAACCACCCCGAGGGGGAACACACCTCCCAAGAGCAACAACTAAAATATTTCATTCAACCCATCCCCTTCGACTACTGTTACATCTCGAACGGGCACAAAGTCTTTCCTTCAATGCATGCATATTTTCATATTTTCGACAACAGAAGGAAGCGTTTTCTTACCTTTACGGGGATGAAACGCATCAACACTCCGAGGGGTAACGCGATCGCACCCAGGGCGACCGTAATGAGCCACTCCTTGCTGCTCAGGTGAGCCGTCTTGGTAAATTCTGCACCCATCTCCACGATCAAAAACTGGTGTCGAAAAAAACGGGGAAAAGGGGGTGGGGGGGGGTCTGCAAAAAACAAACGATTTGTTGTGCCGCAAATTGTCAAGACAGTTGGGAATGGCTCATCTGCGCCGCGCTCGATCGCTCAACACAATCAGGCGTCTGCGGTGGAGTCATGCCGCGACGACAACCAATCATGGAACAGAGAAGGTTCACGACAAACAGAGGGAGCATGCCAACCTGCCAACCACAGACGCAACCAAGCGACGTTGTTTGAAAGAAGAACATGACGAAAAAAGAGACGACGAGGAACAAGCGCACCGCTAGCCTAGCATACAGTGGGGGCCCCGGTTTAGCGACCCCTAGCGTCAAAAGAAAAAATGACCCGAAAAAAAGACGACAATAAACAAGTGCACCGCTATTCTAGCATGCAGTACCTGAAGAATGACGGTAACGATAATAACCGCAATGAAAAGGGGGTTCTTGTGCAACCCCCTGAAAATGTTCCAATCGTCGAAGATGGATCGGGCGTTAAGCTCGTTGAAGATCTGGCAAAACACGAACGCGTTGAAGAGGATGCTGCGCCGCCGGGGACAAGTTCGCAAAAACGGGGCGGGTGCGAGGTGAGGGATATCTTGATTGACATAGGCGAATGTGAGTTGTGACGACATATCTGTTGCGGTATGTTACCTATTTCAATGCTTGCTCTTGGAAGTACATGTAGCCGGGCTATGCATACTCGAATCAAGTACTACATGCATGCAGCGCCAACGGCATCACTATCTGCGAAGTCGCCAAGACACAGCAACATATCAACAACAACACAAACAGCAACAGCAACAGCAGTAAATAACGACAACGACGACGACAGGAAGGAGACATCAACATCAACAGAGACAGCGACAGCGACAGCACTCACGTGTAGTGTGTGTAGTCGTTCTTGCTGCACTCCATGTCACAACCGTCGTAAAACGTGTCCACGTCCCGGTCGCTCGTGAAGAAATCGCCGGAGGTGTCGAAGAACTCATCGTAACAAATGTACTGAATGAACCGAGAATAAATCCAATCGAGAGATCGATTTCGCAGACGGCGTCATCGGCATGGACAGCAACGAGGTGCGAGTGAGATTTTGCGCGGAATGCGGCGTGTGCGGGCATCCGAACATGCTTGTACGGTTACGTTCGCTCACGCAGAGTCAGTACCAGTACCAGTAGCCATGCTCAACGTTCAACCAGCACCCGCAAGGAGGTGGAGGGTCCAGAGGCTGACTGGCCTTGAGAAACTCACAGACGGAGGCGGAGGAGCCGTTCTGTGTGTCGACGGAATGGAGTTTCCGGAACACATGCCGTGAGCGCTGATTTGAAGTCAAGACCAGAAAAAAAGAAAGAAATAAAAGCTCGTCACGCACCTCTCTCGCATCCGTGCATGTGTCTTCCACGTAGTCCGTGTACTGCTGGCAGGTTAATCCGGCAATTTCCCTGCCATCCTCCCCACCGATGTCCCAAGCCTTGCACGCGTTGTCCTTCTGGACGCCGGGGAACAGAGTGTGGATGTCGTACAGCAGCCACAGCAGCAGGATAAGCTGAGCAGAGGAGGACAAGGGGGGGGGCGGGGGGCAGGCGGGGGGGGGGGGGGGG